TAAATTTAAATTTCAAAGTAGCTAGGATTAAATCCATTTTATCCGAGTAATTTATTAATTCAATTTTAATCTTTCTAAATTCCTGGTTGAGTAAACTTAGATTTCGTACATTATTTAATCCGATCCAAATTAATTTATTCCGAGTTATTTTATTTTTCCCAGTAATCGGCATTACATTTTACTAGATTTATTTTTCGACGCAAAAGTAAAATTTCGACAAGGGATTATTCTATTGTATTATATTTGGTGTTTCTTAAAACTTAACATTTTATTTTACTCGAGTTTATTCTATTTCAATGACTAAGAGACTTTAGCTACGACCTTGTGTGTCCTCTACTCAGCGTTTTCTCGCACGGACAAGATGGCTGACGCTCTCGCTCGGTCTGGCGTCTTTGTCGCAGGACTCATGTAATTTTTTTTCTGATGAAATTTTTTGCAAATTTTATATTCTCTATTTTCTTGACTAATTAATTTAGATTGGCAATTCTATTGATTTCTATTGATTTTTATGGCTATTTCCTGAATCTACGTTTAATTTAAATTAAAACAATTATTAATTAATGCGCCAAATAATTTATAAAAATAACTTTAGATCGGAATAAATTTTAACTTAAATAATCGTACTTTTACGGTTTACTCAATTCTATTTTCTATTGGCTTAAGCCAAATCATTATTGTCTATCAATTCTCAATTAAATAAATTTTATACATGGCGAAAATCTGGAATTAATAACCCGACTTGATAATAGATATTGCCTAGTATTATCAACCCAGACAGGCCTACATGTAAAATAAGTAATAACAGAGACAAGTTACTTTTCCTAAACAAATCAATTAATAACTCGAAACTGTCCTAGTATTATTAATTAATTGTTTTATAATTCGTCCAATATTAATATTAAATCTGATTCTAAATAAATAAACTATTTCTGAACGAGACTTAAAATAAAGCCAACTAAATTATTAAACGATTGTGACTGAGCACGAAATGGCGGTGACCTTCAGCCGACGTGTTGCCTGGCTGATACCGCAGACCCGAGGAATAATTGAGACTCCCCGGGAAAAAATGATCAGATCTGATCAGATATGAATAGGCATGAGTCTTCAGGTCTGATCAGACATGAAAAATGACCGGGTCTGATCAGACCTGGCCAGGCATGTTCATGTCTGATCAGATCTGTTCATGCCTGACTCGATTAGGTCCATAAAAAAAAA